ATGTCTGTGTAAACATCCTGTTTAGTTTCCCGGCTCCTGTCCTTCCCAGTCCATCACATTTACCACTTGACATTCTACTAAAAGGAGAGGTTGGATATTTCCATTCTCCCTGTTTACTCTTTTCTTTCCTTCCTGCATGTGTTTTACCTATTTTTGTGTGTATGACTATTTTGCCTACATGTATGTCTGTACACCATGCACATACTTGGAACCCCTGGAGGCTAGACAAGGGCATCAGATCCCTGGGAACTAGAGTTACAGACAGTTGTGAGCTGCCATGTGAGCGCTGGAAATTGAACTCAGGTCACCTGGAAGAGAAACCAGTGCTCTTAACCATTGAACCATATCTCCAGCTTCTGTGTATATTTTTAGGCAGTATCTGTAGCCCACAACTCACATTTCTCTTGCTTCAACCTCCCAAGCCTAAGCTTATAGCCACAAGCAGTTTTTTCTCACTTCTCTGTGTTTGTGTGTGTGTCTGTATGTAGGAGTGTATATTCATGTGGGTGTGGTTATACATGTAGTACATGTTCATATGGCCAGAGGTCAACCTCAGATTTCTCTAAGAGCCAACCACCACATTATTATTATTATTATTATTATTATTATTATTATTATTATTATTCAAGACAAGATTTTTCTGTGTTGCCCCGACTGTCCTGGAACTCGCTGTGTAGATCAGGCTTGGCTTTGAACTCACAAAGACCCACCTGCCTCTGCCTCCTGAGTCTGGGATCAAAGGCATGTACCACCACTACCCAGCTCAGAAGAAGACTTTTAGGAGTAAGTTTTCTCCTTCCATTATGAATTCCAGGCATCAAAGTCAGTTCATCGGGCTTTTCTAGCAAGTGTTTTTGCGGGCTGAGCCATCACACCAGCCATTATTGTTATTATCAGTGAGACCATGCCAGCTAGCCAGCAGGCTACATGGATCAGCCTTTCCGGGCTTCCCTAGTACTGGTATTACTAGCAAGAGCCACTGTGTCTACCTTTTACATGGACGCTGAAGGCTGAAGACCCTATTGATGGGCCATTTCCCGGCCCCTTTATTTGCTTCTCTATGTCACTGAAAACTCATGAATTCTCTTGCTGGTTCCTGACTGCTGGAAGGTAAGCTGTTCTGTTCCACCATGCCCTCCCTGCCATGACAGACTGGAACCTCTGAAACAAAAAAATTGGAGATTTGTTGTCTTACTAGAAGAAAAAGAAGACACAGCTGATAACCACAGCGCCAGCGAGAAAAGAGTGTCCTGAAGCAGAAGAGTGTGGTAGAAAAGAAAAGAAGGGGGGGAGGGTGTTGGAGTGATAGCTCAGTGGTTTAAGGGCACTATGCTCTCACAGAAGAATTGGGGTCGATTTCCAGCCCTCATACGCCAGCTCATAACCATGTGTGACTTTAGTTCCAGGGGATCTGACCCCCTCTTCTGGCCTCCATGGGCACTGCATGTAAGTGGTGCAAAGATAAAAATGTCCATACACGTAAAATATTTTTTTGTTGTTTGTTTGGGGTTTTGTTTCATTTTGTTTTTGAGACAGGGTTTCGCTGTGTATCCCTGGTTATCCTAGAATTCACTCTGTAGACCAGGCTGGCCTTGAACTCAGAGACCTGCCTTCCTCTGCCTCCCAAGTACTGAAATTAAAGGTGTATACCTTTAATGAGATAAATTTTAAGGGGTGTGGGGAGGGGGAGAGGCAACTGGAAGGGAGGGGAGAGACAGACAGAGATAGAGAGATCATATGAACTGCCTGAGCTCCCAGTTTGGACTTTGCCTGTCCTTTGCCACAGTCAGGAGTGTATGTGGGGACAGACGTGTGTCTGCACAAAACAATGGCCACCATTGTTCATATGTGCCAAGAATCCGGATGAATGACAACAGGCACAGGGGGGAAGCCCCTGTGAGTCAGACTAAACAGGAAGGGACACCTGTCTCCAAGCTGTTGGTGTGAAGTTACAGGAAGAACAGCGGGGTTGAAGCACGGGCGTTTTGTGGAGAAGATACAGTGCCACGTGGCAGTAACACCGTGGCAGCTGGGGTGACAGAGCTCCACGTGTAGTTGAGAGACTGCACGCCCTGCCCGAGCCCAAGTTACAACACCAGGAAGGGAACCTCCAGGCTCGGTGGACGGCTGGAAGAGAAAACAAACCACCAGACAGAAGTGTGAAGCTGGAGCCGGCGGCCGCGAGAACGGTGCATGCCGATGCCAGAGCTGCAGGCGATGACTTCGTATCAGAGAACATGGTTCGGGAACACGCTCAGAGCGGAGCCCAGGAAAAAGAAAAGGTTGTCTCCTTGCTACACTCTCAGAGACAGAATTGCTGAGGGCCAGGCTACTGCTGGCCTCACACTGGGGCAAAAGTGCCACGTGTTTAGCAACTAAAGCACTGAAGCTTCTGTAGCTTGGCAGGTGGACACCGGAACAAAGGCCCTAGAGGCTGGAACTGTCGCCACAGTGTAAGCACCGCAGCACAGGCCCAAGTCGTCAGGAGCTTCAGGAAACTGTCTCTGCCTGCTACACTTCAGTGATGACAATGGCCAGAAGGATTCTGAGTACCTCTCATAAGACAGCCTACTGTGCCTTGAGGCCTCTGTCCAGCACAGCGCTCCAGAGGACAAGGTGGACGCTCTCAGATCTTGTCCTCACTCAGCATGTTAAACTGTACTGGGATCAGGGGTTCCCCACAATGGGACTGGAGAGAAAGAGCAACAACAAGAGATCCTCAAGATTAACAGGTAAAAGAAGCCCCTTTGTAGAGAAAGACCCAAAACCCTTCCTTCCTGTGGCATCATGAACAGAACATGAAGAAAACAAAGCCCTTGAAACACAAACAAGAGGAATGGACCTATAAGAAACCATACGGACACATGTATGGCCGGATGCTCTTTAGTTATTTTTATTTTCTCAGATTACTAGCCCAATTCCATTTGGAGTAGTTTTTCTTTTTTCTTTCCTTTTTTTTTTTTTAAATTTATTGTATGTGTATGAGTGTGTCTGCAAGAATCTCTATGCACATGTTCATGCAGCACCCAGGTAAGCCAGAAGAGGGCACCCGATCCCATGAAATTGGAGTTAGGGAAGGTTGTGAACAGTTGCTTCCAATCAAACCTGGTCCTCTGAGCCCCTGCTCTTCACTCCTGAGCGATATCTCCAGCCCCAGTCTTTCCCTTTCTTTCTTTATTTCTTTTCTTTCCCCCTTTCTTCCTTCCTTCCTTCCTTCCTTCCTTCCTTCCTTCCTTTTCTTTCTCTCTCTCTGTTTCTTTCTTTCTTTTGTATTTTTGTGACAGGGTTTTTTTTCTGTGTAGTTCTAGCTGGCCAGGAACTCCCTCTGTAGACCAGAATGGCCCCGAACTCACAGAGATCCACCTGCTTCTGCCTCCTGGGTGCTGGGATTAAAGGTATGAGTCACCATTGCCTTTTCTCTTTCTTGACAAAGTTGTCTAATTTTATTCCATGCCTAGTTTAAAAGACATGACTTTTTCTCCATCTCCTGTCAGCTGTTGGGGTTTTCAATTACCTACACTGCTTTTCTCAAACTTTAATAAAACTATCTTTGGGCTTCCTTTGAGTCCACTTCTAAATTCTGGTATTAACGACACTAAGAACCCCTCAAACGAACCTTGGGTTTTTTATTTGTTTGTTTGTTTTTTTCTGGGATCAAACAGAGAGCAGTATTCTGATAGCGCCCTCAGGTCCTCCACAGGTGGACCTGGAGCTAGATTGATAAGGTCAAGAACTCTGGGGACAGGATGCAGTCTCACCTCTCACATGGAGTTTTGGCTTTCAAGCTGCCAAGCAGAAGCTGAAAACAATCAGTGCAGGGTGCTTCAAGGCCCATGTGCCAGCCCCATCTCAGCGTGCACCCAGGGAGGCTACCTTGCATGCCTGTCCTGTTCTACAGAATGAGGTGTGCCTGCTCTCTGGCCGCACAACTGCACAACTTCCTAGGGGCTGCGCAGCCCAGCCATGCACCTACACCGAACACAGCTGCAATGGAGTAACATTATTTTTATACACCCAAAACCTAAAACATCAATTTTTCTATTCACTTATTTTGCATGTAATAAATGTACTTGCTACAGTTAAAAAAATATCCCTCGTTGGTCACAAGTTCATCTAATTAGTTATACTTTTAATATAAAAAGTAATTCTTTATTAAGTTTGTCTGTATAGATGTGAAGGTCAGGGCACAACTTGGCAGGCGTTTTGCCTTCCATCAGTGGGTCTCTGGGGATTGAACTAGCGTTGCCAGGCTTGGCAGGAAGCATCCTCACCTGCTGAGCCATCACGTTGGCTCCCTTTAGTTATACTCCTACTATCTTTATTTTGATACTGCACATTCACTGATCTGGCTCGCAAAGTCTTCATGGTAGCTCCTGTGTCCCTTTTACACTTTCCCATCCAACACCACCGTCCTTACATTCTAATACAAGGCATTCCAAGCTGGTGTTTTTAGAACTGGCTTTTTCATCAAGGCGGCCCTTTCCTCCCATACATTTTGCTTTCGTTGTTGAGCGACACAGTCTCATGTATCCCAGGTTTGCTTCGAAAACGACACTGAAATTCTGACCCACCACCAGAATGAAGGACGTGAGTACTGCCGAGGACGCACGCGTTTATGCGAAGCTGGGAATCGAACTTACATCCTCACTCAGAGGAAGCGAAGTACCACACCCGCTGAACTCCCTCCCCTCCTCCCCACGCTCTAGGAAACACGACCAAAAGGCCGGAAGTCCTTTCCTTCCTGTCCCGGGCGGAACTCACTAGCCCCGCACCTGGGCCGGAGCGCAGCGCTGCACACCAGCCTCTTCCGGCTGTAACCGGAAGTCTGTCTGATAGAGGCGGCTCCGCGTCAGGTGACTAAAGTCCGGGTAGGAGGGGTCGAAGGCTCAATCTTTCTGACTGACGCGTCTCTGAGGCTGGCTTGTCCACTGGGGGACAGAGGAACGGACTGTGGCGTCGCTGGCGCTCGCTCTACGGCGGCAGGTAGGTGACGAGCTGGGGTGGCGGCCCGGGAGACGTGGGACCCCCTTCCCGGGCGCAGGGACGGAGGCACCTGAGAGACAGCAGGTCTGGCTCTGTCCGGGTCCCAGAAGGAGTGTCAGGCTGGCGTCCTTGGATACAGATTGGGCAAACTGAGGCCCTAGAAGAAGGAAGGGCGCGCTCGGGCTCTTTTCAGACAGGGTCTCCGCCTGACTGCCTCTCCACCTCGGGGGCGGGACCGCCTCTCACGTGGTTAGTGAAGAGGTGAAGAGGGTGAACAGATTTGGGGTGAAGTGGAGAAGACCTGGAGTCGAGCTCGCTGCCTACAGCTAGTTCTGCGTTCTGGGCCAAGTCCTCTACCTCACTGAACCTGGTTTCCACACTTGCACAACCGGGCCCCGATTCTCAAAACACGGTCCTCAACAACACCTCTGAGATGCCGGCTTTACAGCCCTGAACTCCGACAGCTTGTTTCGAATCTGGGTTTGGATCCTAGGAAACCGTACTTTGGACATTCTCCTCGGGAGTCCTAAACCTGCGAGTGTGTGAAACCTGCTCATCTGAAGTGCTTTCCCGCTGGGAATGCGGTATTGGCTTGGAGGCATCTGGAGCCGGTTCGGTTCTGTGAAACATCGGTCTGGCGTGGGAAAGAACACCAGAGAACAATAACTATCATTAAAAGCTGGCCCTGGATAGGGTGGGTCGGCTATGGCAAGGAGGGCTCCCACTTAATCTTTGGGGCTGAAAGAGGTATGACTGGGATTAATATTAAGAATTTAACGGAAAGCTCGTCAGAAGTTACCACTGATAGGTTTGACCCTCTTGTGGAAGAAAGTACACAGGCATTAGTTGGAGGTCCTTTCCAACTTGAAAGTCTCTTATTCTGAGACGTTATTGTGAATCTATCTTTCCATTGATAGCTCTGTCCTCAGAGTATGACATTTCTTTTGTTATTTGAGACAGGGTCTCATGGATCTCAGGCTGTCCGCAAACTCCTTTTGTAGGTCAGGTTGGCATTAAACTTTTGCTCCTCCTGCCTCCGTGTCAGAGTGCTAGGATTACACATTATTAGTACCATTCATTATGACTGTTGAATGTGACATTTCTATGTCTTCCTTTCTTTTCTTGGCCTCTCCTTCTCCCTAGCCTACATCTCCTGTAAATAAGGCCAGCATACTGATCTTCTCCTGGTTGTCATGTTCGTCATCCGTCATCCTTATTTTCAAGAGGTTTGGAATGAACCAGTATCTGAAAAAAGTATCTAAAATGTATGCTCTATTAGTAAACAGGGATTCATCACTTGGTTAGTACTTTTTTGTTTTACATTTAATTTTTTTTAAATTTATTTTTAGTCAGGGTCTGACTCTAGTCCTGGCTGTGATTCTCATACCTCAGCCTCCAGAGCGTGTGGGCCACCATATCTGACATTAGTAATTTGTTTTTTGAGAACAATTTAGAAAGTCAGTCCTTCCCTCTTTCTCCCCTCTTTCTTTTCCCTCTTTCCTCTTCCCTCCTCTCTCCCCTCTCCACCTTCTCTAGAGTATCATTATGTAACTCAGACTGACTTCAAACTCATGGTCTTGCTGCCTTAGCCTCCCAAACACCGGGATTGCTTGTTTTCCCAAGGCTCTGCTTGCCAGTGAACTCTGACTACAGAGTGGAGGTCTGATGGCAGTTATTTAGGTCAGTTGTCTCTCTGGTTTGTAAACTGAACCTTGATTCTTCCTCCAACAGTGCGTGTAAAGATGTGAAAGGATTTTTGCACTTTGTAAGCTAGCATCCATCAGCATATATGACCAAGTCTTTTATGGCGCTGCCTTGCCAGTGCAGCCTCACAGACGATCCGTCAGACATACCTATAGTTCTGTGATCTAACATGAGATTCCCTCCTTTTGCACTTTACCAAACACTAAGTAGATCTCTTTCCATCTCCTGTTAGAGTACTTAAGAATGTTTATATTGTCTTGAGAAGCAAAGATTCCATATTATGACCCGATTCTTCTGACACTTCCTTCACAAAACAAAAGGTTGGGATAGAACCAAAGTTCCTGCCTCTTTTCCTGTTGTTTATGTTTCTCAACATTAAAAAAAATTGTGAAATGATCATTCAGTTGTTACCTAACATTCAAGATAGTATGGCCTTAGACTCAGTCATCATCTCAGTGGTGAGGAAAATGCTCTTAATTTGTTGGATTGTTAAAAACTTATTAATTTGGGAAATTAATTTTACAGAGATACTTGATTGGTGCTTTAGTAAATATATTCTACTGGCCACTGGTCTGATGCCTGTAAAAAAGGGATTTGATGGTGAAAATAAGTGTGGGGAAAGCAACTTACCATTACCCTTTCTTAGTGTCTTAATGTAAGTACTATATTAAAGGCACTGAGAGCTCTCACAATAAAAATTCAGGCTTTCTAATAAGCTAGCATAATAAAATGTTTTGCTTGCTTAGTGTTAACAAACTTACTTGGCATAAAACCTCTTTTCTTGTCCTTAACACAGGGCCTTGCTTTGTAATGTCCAGGGTGGCTTCAGACTTTCTCTCCTGCTTCAGAGCTTCCAAGTACCAGAATTCCTACTATATGCTACCCCATGGAGTTATTTTTATGTTTTGTTTTGTGTGTGTGTGTTTTCCAGACAGGGTTTCTTTGTGTAACAGCCTTAGCTGTCCTGGAACTCTATTTGTAGACCAGGTGACCTCAAACTCACAAAGGTCCACCTACCTCTGCCTCCCAAGTACTGGGACTAAACGTGTGCACCACCATGCCCAGCTCTGTTTTTTTTTGCTTTTTGTTTGTTTTGTTTTGTTTTTAATTGAAACACGAATTGGCAAATTCTGACCTGAAAACAAACTTTGGCCTAGAGGCCATATCTAGCTCTGAGTTTTTTGCATAGCCTCTGAACTAATGAAATGACACCTCTCCCCAGCATGCATGCACCCACCCACCCACACCCACCCACCCACACACACACACACACACTCTCTCTCTCTCTCTCTCTCTCACATTCACACTCACACACACACACACCACCCTCTGCCCTGCTCAGGCTGATCTCAAATTTGTGGTGATTACAGGCTTGTGTCATGCTTTTAAATTTATTGTATTTGAGGGGGGCTTAATTTACTTATTTAATTTTGAGGCAGGGTCTCTCACAGAACCTAGAGCTACGCTGGCAGGTCAGCAAGCTCCCAGGATCTACCTGTGTGAGTGCTAAGGTTTCAGATGTGTGTTGCAGTGCCCAGCTTTTCCATGTGTATTGGGAACCTGAACTTAGATCCTAATGCTTGTACAGCAGCATTTACCAGCCGAGCCATCTCCCCAGTCCTGGCTTTTACATTTCTAAAGGGGAACTAAACCTAAAGAATAATTCCGGCACTTGGGAGGCAGAGGCAGGTGACTCTCTAGAGGCTAGTTTGTTCTTTGAGTTTCAGGACAGCCAGAACTACAGAACCTTGTCTCAAAATTCCAAACAAACCAACCAACCAGCCAACCGACCAACCAACCAAAACATAAATACATACAGACATGTATGCATACATACATATATACTTATATACATACATCCTCCTAGGTATATAGGGTCCTCTCATGTTATTTATTTACATTTCCCTTGTACTGATAATATTGAACATATTTTCATGTGCTTACAATGTACACCTTGTAAGTTGTTTTGCATTTTGTGTGTGTGTGTGTGTGTGTGTGTGTGTATGTGTGCACATGACGTATGTGTGGAGGTCAGAAGATAATTTGCAAGAGTTAGTTCTCTCCTGCCCTTGGGGCTTATGGGGGCTGGACTCAAGCTATCAGGCTTGATAGCACGCACTTTTAGCTGCTAAGCTAGCTCCGTGATCTGTATATCTCATTAGGAGACTCTTTATTTCATTCCTTTACCCATTCTGAAACTGGGTCATTTGTCCAGGTGTATAATCTTTTTTTTTTTTTTTTTTTTTTTGAGGTGGGGTTCCGAGACTGGGTTTCTCTGTGTGTTATTTTGGCTGTCCTGGAACTCACTCTGTAGACAAGGCTGGCCTTGAACTCAGAGATCCACCTGCCTCTGCCTCCCCAAGTACTGGGATTAAAGGTGTGAAACGCCCCCCCCCCCCCAGTTTACGTGTACAATGGATATAAATATTCAGTGTGTTTTTAAGAGCCCTGATAGCCCTGGAAGTAACTGAGTAAATGAGCTGAGTGGCACAGTGGGGACACTTCAATAACTTCCTTAGCTGAATGAAGTTGGATTTGGACATTCTAAAGCACAGAATAAGTTGTCCGCTTTAGACTGCTGATCATGCAGAGCTTAGCACAACCCCAACCACTGCTGATGTGAACAACTATGTTCCTGTGAAAGGGTACTTCTTATGCCCAGAAAACAGTATCATCCAAGATGTGGTAAGAGCATGTGGAGATCCTTGTGTCTGGGAGAATGCCGGTGCTTGTCTGTCCCAGGCAGAGAGAAGAGGGTACATGGTGTTGTGGAGTTCTTAGGGTGAGCATAGGCTTAGGGTTACAGAACTGCTGGCTTACCATGCAGTTTCTCATTCCATAACCTTTGGCCCTAACCATACCATCTTTAATTTGTTTTGTTTTTTTCAAGACAGGGTTTTTTTGTGTAGCCTTGGCTGTCCTAGAACTAACTCTATAGACCAGGCTGGCTTTGAACTCACAGAGATCCATCTTCTTTTGCCTCCCAAGTGCTAGGAATAGAGGCGTCTGCCACCACTGCCCGGCTGCACCATCTTGAATATTAAAACAAATACCACAGTCATTTCCAAAGATGACTACTTTGGAAAATTTAGGATAGTATCCCTCTTACCCACCTTGCCATCTCTATATCAACACGAGAATCTTTGTTACTGTTGCTTTTATTCCCTTGTTTCTTGTCACTGCCTACAGGGCAGGTATGTGTGTGTATGTCTGTCTGTGAGAGAGAGTGTGCATGCCAAGTGTGTATGTGGTGATTAGAGGACAACCTCGAGTGTCAGTGCTCTGCTTACAGCTTTGAGGCAGGGTCTCTTTTGCTTTCCACTATGTCAGGCTAGGTGGCCCCTGAGTTTCCCCAAACCCTCCTGCTTTGCCTCTCACCCCCTGTAAGAGCACTAGGATTATGGACACTTATCACAGTGTCTGGTCTTCCATGGGTTCTGGGGATTCAAACTTGGGTTGTCATGCTTATGTAACAAAGACTTTTACCCATTTAGCCATCTCCCCAGCTAAACCCAGGTACATTTTTATGATCAAGTAAGTTGCTGTACAGAGTTCTGTATTTCACCTTTTTTTTTGTTATCATTTTTTGAGATTGGGTCATACTAGGTTGCCTAGACTAGTCTCAAACTCCTGATCTTAACCTGGATCCTCCTGCTTCAATCTCCAAAGGAACTGGGACTACTGGTACCTACCATTAGCAGACAGCCTGTTAACATTTTTGTGGTCTTGTTAGTTTCTTTGTAAGTGTAGTGTCTGAATGAATTTCCATTTCCTTAACCATCTACTCAATAATATGTCAGCAGACTTCATTGTACAGACATATGGCTGTGATAACCACTCAGCATGCAGTCAGTTGGGTAGAACTGTGGTTTGGGTTTATGATTAACAGATTTTTATTTATGTCTTTGTGCTTTGAGATAGAGCCTCATACCAAGGGAGGCCTTGAACTCCTTATACTTCTGTCTACATCTCCCAAGTGCTGGGATTACAGGTGTGTTCCACCACACCTGACAGGTTTAACAGGTTTCTTTCTTTCTTTCTTT